CATGGGATGAAGGGGTGCAGGAATGAATGAATGAAACCTCTTTGCTGGTAAGTGGCAGAGTTCAGGTTAGCACTCACTGTCTTGGTCCCATCCTGGTCCCATCCTGTACTGGAATTGGGATGTGGGAGTTGAGATGGGGAACTATGGAGCAAAGCTGCTGCCATCACCCTTCCAAGATGTGAGACTGTGGGATGGAGGCCGCTGCCACAAGGGGGCAGCAGAGATGTGGCAGCCTGGAGCACTGGGGTGAATGTAGGAGGACTGTGTAGGGAAGGTGGCAGATGCCCACCTCTCCGCCCACACGTGTCTTGCTATTGTTAGGGTTCTGCTCACTGTCAGCAGCTGAATGAAGCATCATTGCACCACCCCTCTGACCTTGATGTCCTCTGGATGGGCCCCTTCATGGTGGTGATCAGGATTTGAGGACAAGGGGCCTGGTTTTCTGGGCATCTAGCAGTGCTATTTCACTAGTATTGGTCTGTATTATATTTATTCTTTGTAAGACTTATTCTAGGCTGGATATATTTATGTACTTTTTTTGGTTGTTACTGTCATCTCTGTAAATCTTACAGTAACCTGGTGAGATGGCAGGTGGGGGCAGACTGCTTTGTAGATGAGGAAACAGAGGTTCAGAAGGGTTGGGTAACTTGTTCAGGGCCACACAGCTAGGAAATAGGTGAGTCTTTGGCTAGGTGCCTTACCCAGGTGTATATAGAGCACAGCTCCATGCTGGGCTATGCTCCGGTTGCTGGGAAACAACTGACAACCCAGTGGGAGGAAGATGGTAAATGTCTGGGGGTTGATATTTTCAGTTGATGGTCAGGAAGGGCCTCCTGCAAAGTTGTCTGAAGGCCTGAGGAGCTAAGGGAAGAGGCCTGTAGGATCTGGGGGAGAGCATTCTAAGCAGCTGGAACAGCATGTGCAAAGGCCTTGAGTCTCTCCTACAGTTGCATAACTGTGCTCTGGTTTTTTCATGGCCAGGCAGGGTCCATCTCTAGAGCCTTGCCTCCCTGACAGCTCTGGGCACTGGCGCCAGTTTGGAGCATGGAGCAGGTGCTCAGAAAATGGTGCCCCTCTTTCTACTACTGCTACCTTGATCAGTCACATTTTTATTTCCATGAAGACAGTGAAGGCCAGGGGCCCTGCTGCTTGACAGTGGCTTTGGGTGCTCCTCTCTGGGTTGGGGAAGACCACAGTGTGGCTCTGCTCCTCCCCTCCTGCAGGGTGGGCTGTGGCCTTGCCCCTTGCCCTGGTCAGCCCCTACACCCCTCTGCCACCTCGTGCTGCCACGAGTTGCTGTTGGCTGGGCCCCAGAATCTCAGGCCTCTGGGTGAGAATTCCTCCCAGGCTAGTGGAATGTCACTGCATGCACCCCAGGCCAGGGTGCCTGCCCTGCCCTTGTCCTCTGTCCATTGTAGGCCATGGGGCCACACTCCCTGCAGCCATTGATGGACCTTGGGCCAGTGATTCCCTGCACAGGCCTCACTTCCTTCATCCATAGAGTAGAACACGTTGCCCCCTCCCAGCCCCTTCCCTCTGTTGGGGCAGGAAGGGCTGTCCCTGCATCCCTCAGTAGGGCACACCACTCCTCCCTGCCCCTCAGCCTGCCTTCTCCCCAGGGATGGGGCCTGGGCCTGCTGCCTCTTCTGTGCTTAGCAGCTGCCTGTGCCCTCTGACCCCAGTCCTGGGGCCTACCCTGGGCCCTTATCCCAGGCTGGCCTCAGTGCTGGGGCAGGCATGTGGTGTATGTGTGTGTCCGTTAAGCATAGGGAATGGGAGGTGTGCTTGGGCACAGAGCAGAGGGTAGGGGTGGCAGTGGGATGGGGAGGGTTGCATTTGAGGGGTGAGCTCAGGGCCTGAAGACTGGGAAGCACACGACAGGGCCTCCCACATTTAGGCCCTCAGTCTGGGTGGAGTGGGTGGGGGTGGGGTGAGGGTGAGGAACCTCTGCTGCTCCCTGCCCTGGGACCTTTTGTTTTGATGGGTAATTGGAGCTTGTTTGTTAGTCTCCCCATCTTTAAAAGATTTTATTGAGATGAAATTCACATAACAAAATTGCCCATTTAAAAGTGAGAGGTTTAGTGGTATTTGGTACATTCACAGTGTCGTACAACCACCAACCTCTATCTAGTTCCACAACTTTCCAACACCCCAAAAGGAGACCAAGTCCCCATTAGCTGATACTCCCCATTCTCCCTCCTCCAGCCCCAGGCAACTGCCATTCTGCTTTCTGTCTCTGGATTTAACTGTTCTGGACATTTCATATACATATGCGACCCTTAGTGTCTGGCTTCTTTCACCTGGCAAAACTTTTTCCCCCACCTAGCATAGCTTTTATTTAACTTTTTATTTTGAAATAATTACAGAGGCGCAAGGAGCTGCAAAAATAGTACGGAGAGGTCCTGGGTCCTCCCATCCCCCACCCCCAGGGCTTTTCAGACCTCTCTTGGGGTGAAGATGGCCTCTGGGTCCCAGGGTTTGGGGGCAGGAAATGGGAAATGAGGACTGATCCTATCGAGGTGGTCCTGAGCTGGGGCAGCCCCCACCCTGGTAGGCTGGGCCCCTGGTACTGCCCCTTGGTCTGGGCTTACCTCTGTGACGGCTGAGTCTATCCCGTTCTTTGGCTTTGAGCTGGCCTGGGTGAAGTGTGGCGGCTGCTGGGAGCGGGGCCCCTCTCCTGACTGCCCTCTCCTGTTGCCCAGCTTCCTCTCCCAGCAGCCAGTTGGGGCCTCGACGGCTGTCCTCTCCTCTTGGGTCCTGGTCCCATGCCTGGTTGGGGGTAGGGTAGAATTTTAGCCCTTCCCCAGCAGCTGGCAGGCAGGGAGAGAGGGCTGGTTGTATTTTAAGCTGTTGAGTGGTTCAGCAGGAACTTGGAGGAGGCCCCTTTCCCCGTAGGCGCGGTGTTGCCTTCCTGTGGACCACACGGGCTCTGAAGGCATGTGGGCACTGCCCGCCTGGGACCCAGCAACTATTAATATACCTGCAGCCACGGGGCAGGCCCTGTGCCTGCCTGGGGCCCTGCTGTTCTAGCCCTTTGAGTACATTCTGTGTGTGCTCCTTCCCTCTCCCATAAGTCCCCTTGGTGGGCCTGGTACTCCAGGTGATATGACCAGCTCCCTGTTTCTGGCCCCTCTGGCTGGCCTTGTTACCTCTGTGGCTCAGAGGAGTTCAATAACCTGTGTCCCAAGGCCATATGGCCTGGCAGAGCTCTCTCTAGTAGGTTAACAGTAGGCAGCTTGGCCAAGACATCTCGGGTGCTGTGCCTTCCTACCCTCACATCCATGATGGGGGCAGGTGCTGCAGCCACCAGCTGGCCATCAGGGGAGCTGGGATCTCAACCCAGGCCCATGCCCTTCCCTTTGTGGCATCTCCTGAGGCTTTGGGCACTGCATGTCTGTCAGGCACCATGCTGCACTTCACATGCATTGTCTCATGGGACCCTCCCAGCCCTGTGAAGTATACACCTTCCTATCTGCTTCCCTGGCTGAGGCCCATAGAGAAGTGACTATATAGCAGGGCCAGATTCAGTTCCATGTACCACATCCCCTGCCTCTCCCACTGTCGTTGGGTGTGTGTGAGGGGGCCCTTTCTTTCAAGGGGGCTCCAGCTCCAGGGAAGCCCTCTCCCTGGGCTCTGGGTAGGTGGCATCCCTCAGAGAGCCTGCCTGGGGTCCTGCCTGTGGTTTTGCATCCTGCTCCTCTTCCCCACACTGCCACGAAGGGCCCACTAGAGGTGGGAAGGGCCCTCAGCACCTGTTGGCCAGTGGCCAACTTGGGGACAGACCCAGCTCTACCTGCCACTGCCCATTTCGAGCTCCGTGGCACTCAGCCTCTCAGGATTGGCCTGCCTGCTAGTCTCACTGCAGCTCCTCCAGCAGTTCACCGCCTCCGCTGCTCTGCTCTTCTGTCTGTGGTGTCTGCTTTGACCTGTGTGGAGTAGTGGGTCAGATCTCCCCGTCCCCCCTGGAGCATCTTCCCTCCCAGCAACGTCCCTCTGTTCTACCACTTTCTGGGACTCAGGGAGATCGTGTGTGGTGCAGGCTGTGTGCTCTGGGCTTTGGGGGTCTCAGGGCCTGGACATGGGAGCTATGGTGGGCTTACACGGTGGGCAGAGTGCCCTGAAGGTGACCTTGAACATGGTCTGGGTGGATCTAGTGAAAATATGTGGAAAAGGAGGTCAGGGAGGTGAGGCTGAGGCCTCATCAGCCCAGGCCAAGGTGCTTTCTGGAATCCTGGTTTCCTGACTCTTTCCACACATAGAACTCTGGAGTCTGTCACCTCCCTGGAACACAAATATACAGGGAAATAATCTGAGTGTCTCTCACAGCTCAGAAGGGGAAATGGATGATCTATCTCTTGGATTCTCAAAATAGCTGGGATTTCTCCAAGCCCAGTGAACTCTGCCGGCCTGAGCCGGGTGCCGGGGTATGGGCTGCCCACTGGCCTCTCATCCTCCCCAAGACTGGCCCCCACCCTGCATTGGGTATGAGGGCCAGGAGGTACCTCCATGCCTTCCTCTGGGGACCTTCCTACCCCTCAGTGCTCTTTGGGGGCTATGCCCACTCAAAAGCCTCACTTTTAGGGTAACCCAGCCCCTGGAGGGGCTGCCCCAATCTGTGCCATGGCTCTTGGGGGGCTCAGTCTGGGTAGTTTTATATTTAGCTGGGCATGGCTATGGGGCCACTCGGGTTACAGCTGCACAGAAAGTGGCAGTGCCAGGGCAGGCGTGGGCTCCTTTCCAGCACCGCGGCAGAATTTGATCGCGTGGCCTGGCCCAGAGCGCTTCATGTGGGGAGGTCGGTGGTGGGGGCTGACGGCCGGCAGCTTGGGCCACTGTCCTCGTGGGCAGAGCAGGGTGGCATGGACCTGAGTGTGAGCATGGTGGCCCAGGAGGCTAGCCAGGGCCTTGGCCCCGGCCCTGGCTTCGGCCTCAATGGCCTCCCCTGGCCTGCACCTCCCAAGGTGGCCAAGAAACCTAAAAAGGCCGTTCTCTTCTTTGAGGTGGAGATTCTGGATGCAAAGACTAGGGAGAAGCTGTGTTTCCTGGACAAGGTAGGACCGAGGTGCCGGCTGCACTGGGCCAGGGTGCTGGGCCCATGATTCCATTCCTTCTGGGGGCTCCTGGCTCTGAGGGAGGTGGGAATCCCTTCCACACTGCTTAGGGGGTGCGCATGAGGGGTACTATCCTCAGGCCTGGCTGGGCCTGTCCCTGCCTCCTCGGGGTGGACAGCCCTGGCCCCTGGGTGTGGCCGGGAGTTGGCCTCCCAGTGCAAGGGGAGGTGAAACAGCCTCAGTGGACCCTGCAGGGCTTTGGGATGCGAAGGGTGGTAGAGTTGTGACCTACCGCTTCTGAGACCAGACCAGGGGAAGGGGCTTGTCCCTTCCTAGGGAAGGTCTGGCCTGGACTGCTGGTCTTTTCTCTGGGGGGAGTTGTGGGTGGGGGTGAAGAGGAAAGGCCGAGAAGCAGGCCCAGTTTCCTGTGCTCAAACTATCTCCCAGCCTGGCTGGGGGGGCATCCTGGCTGCCTGGTAAAACGGCCCTGAGGCCCACTGGTGTCCTCACTCTGACAGGCTTTTGCTGCTCTACTCAGCCATGTGGCGGGGGGGCTGGACTCCAACCCTCCTCACTCCCATAGCAGCTATCCAGGCCCCCATCCATCCCCACCTCAGCAGGAGGGATCCAGGATCTGGGGTTCGGGCTCTCCCCAGGGCTGACTTCCCTCCGGCTGTGCTTCCCTCAGGTGGAGCCTCATGCCACCATCGCAGAGATCAAGAACCTTTTCACTAAGAGCCGTAAGTCCAGGGCCCAGCTACACTGCTCCCTGCAGCCTCTCTGCGCAGGGGCCTCTGGGTGGGACCCCTCCTGGCAGCTTCTCCCCCCAGGGCCTGGAGATGCCCCAGTGTGTCCCAGGACTTTCTGGGTTTGCCTGTTGCAGCGCCCTCGTGTGGCCACTGGCAGGAATGCCCTTGCTTGGTTTTTGTAAGGACAATGTCCTGCTTCTGCCAGTGCTCTTCAGTGTCCTGGAGCCACACAGGCCACAGAGGCCTTGCCTGTGGCACGGGAGGAGATGTGGGGTCCCTGGGCCCTGCCAGGCTGTGTGCTGTGACGTCCTGCTCTCCCCACAGATCCACAGTGGTACCCTGCCCGCCAGTCCCTCCGCCTGGACCCCAGTGAGTACAGCTGTCGCTTGACTACCCCTGGGCACCCTGGTGGCAGTGGGCGAAGGCCTGGGTAGCTCCTGAGCCGTGGCCTGCCTCTCTGCAGAGGGCAGATCACTGAAGGATGAGGACATTCTGCAGAAGCTGCCTGTGGGCACCACAGCCACACTGTACTTCCGGGACCTGGGGGCCCAGATCAGTTGGGTGACGGTGAGTCCTGACCCTACTACCTACAGCCTCCTCTTCCATCAGTCACATTGGGGTCACTCACCTGCTCCCGTCCTCCCAGGTCTTCCTGACAGAGTACGCGGGACCCCTTTTCATCTACCTGCTCTTCTACTTCCGGGTGCCCTTCATCTATGGCCACAAATATGACTTCACGTCCAGCCGGCACACTGTGGTGCAGTGAGTGGGCCAGGCTGGAGGGGCCTGTGGTGGGTGGGGGAAAGGCCTGTGGACTGGCCCCCTCTGAGCCAGCTCCCCTCTCCCAGCCTTGCCTGCATCTGCCACTCATTCCACTATGTCAAACGCCTACTGGAGACGCTCTTCGTACACCGCTTCTCCCATGGTACCATGCCCTTGCGCAACATCTTCAAGGTGAGGCCCAGGCCTCGTAGTCCCAGGCCCACCCACCCCCACCCTGCTCT